GAAGGAAAGTGATGACTAACCTAGATAGTATATTAAAAAGCAGAGACATTACTTTGCCCTCAAAGTCTGTCTGGTCAAGGCTATGGTTTTTCCAGTGGTCATGTATGGATGTGAGAGTTGGACTGTGAAGAAAGCTGAGCGCTGAAAAATTGATGCTTTTAAACTGTGGTGTTGGAGAAAACTCTTGAGAGTCCCTTGGACTGCAAGGAAATCCAACCAGTCCATCCTAAAGGAGATCAGTCCTGGGTGTTCATTGGAAGGACTGATGCTGAAGTTGAAACTCCAGTACTTTGGCCACCTCATGCAAAGAGTTGACTCATTGGAAAAGACCCTGATGCTGGGAGGGATTGGGGGCAGGAGGAGAAGGGGGCGACAGAGGATGAGATGGCTGGATGGCATCACCGACTCGATGGGCATGAGTTTGAGTAAACTCCGGGAGTTGGTGATGGACAGGGAGGCCTGGCATGCTGCAATTCATCAGGTCACAAAGAGTCCGACATGACTGAGTGACTGAACTGAACTGAACTGATATAATTAAGTGCTGCTAGCTGAACATTCCTTGAAGATCTAACCATTCCCGTCTGATTTTGACTAGAAGAAAATAAATATCATATTTCTTGAAAGCCAATAACTTCAAAGCACTGTTCAAATTACAGGGGACACAATGTGTGTGATTAGTCGCTCAGTCATGTCCGACTCCTTGTGACCCCATGGACTGTAGCCCACCAAGCTCCTCTGTCAAAGGGATTCTGCAAGCAAGAATACCAGAGTGGGTTGCCATGCCCTTATTCAGGGGATCTTCCCAACCCAGTTCTCCTGCATTGTAGGCGGATTATTTAACGTCTGAGCCACCAGGGAAGCCCATATAATTAAGTGCTGGTAGCTGAAGATTCTGGAGAAGGCACTGGCACCCCACTCCAGTACTCTTGCCTGGAAAATCCCATGGACGGAGGAGCCTAGTAGGCTGCAGTCCATGGGGTCTCTAAGAGCCGGACATGACTGAGTTACTTCACTTTCATTTTTCACTTTCATGCATTGTAGAAGGAAATGGCAACCCACTCCAGTGTTCTTGCCTGGAGAATCCCAGGGATGGGGGAGCCTGGTGGGCTGCCATCTATGGGGTCGCACAGAGTTGGACACGACTGAAGTGACTTAGCAGTAGCAGCAGCAGTAGCTAAAGATTCCTTGAAGATCTGACCATCCCCATCTAATTTTGACTAGAAGGAAATAAATAGACTCCATTCTGTTTAATGTTAGTTACCAGCATCTCTGAAGAAATAAGATGCAGCAGTTGATTTTGACTTAGTGCACAATGTTTATAGGATGAGAGCTAATTTGTGTTATCAGATCCAATATTCCATCTTTTTGCTTCATTGACTAAACAGATTAATGCAAGGAAGTCTTACATGTTATTTATTTATTTATTTTTCTGGCAAAGTCTCAGTGTTAGTATCTGAACTAGAGATACTGTGGATGCTTTCACGGATATGTATGGGAAGCAGGCAACCAGCATTGATGGAGTACCTGCACAGTGATCCAAGGCACCATGCTGTTGGCATTGTTCTCAGACTTCAGCGTGCATTAGGTCCCCTGGGTGGTTGTTCTGTTAAAAATGCAGATGCTAATTCCATATCTGGGTTTCCCAGGTGGCGCAGTGGTAAAGAATCTGCCTGCTAATGTAGGAGATGAGTGTTTGATCCCTGGGTCTTAAAGATCCCCTGGAGGAGGAAATGGCAGCCCACTCAAATATTCTTGCCTGGGAAATCCCATGGACCGAGGAGCCTGGTGGGCTACAGTCCATGGGGTTACAGAGTCAGGCACAACTGAGTGACTGAGCACACACACAATCCCACACCTACAGAATCAATCTCAGGATGCTAAAGCTATACTGTAAGAAAGCCTCATAGATAACGTAAGTGAATCTGGGATCTGTATTTTGAAAACACTGGTTTATAATCTAGATAGAATCTCCTAGAACAGTAAAAAAGATACTGGACTTAGAAGCCAATTACTTTAATTTCATTCTTAGTTTCCTGGTTTATTAACTGTTTTGTCCTATTAAATTAGTATCTCTAAGCCCTAATTTTTTAACAAATAAAAACAAGGAAGAGCTAAGATAGAAAGCATTTATTCATCCATCAGCACAGTCCAACTCATTGCTAATGTTGTGTTTTAAAGGGATTTTAGTTTATTTATTCACTAGCTTTAGAAAAAAAGAAATCTAAACCAGGATAATATTGAGAAAATTTTCATTGAAATAATAATATTCACCATAAAATACTTTTTGAAACTGTGCCATTCTAAAGTAGCTCCATTTTATTTACAGGGATTTGAAGTTGATTAACATTAACCATTAGCCATTAACATTAGCTAATGTGGCTAACATTAGCCACAAAAGAAAACAAATCAACTCAGACCTTAGAAAGTATTACGTGGCCAAAGGAAGAAAACAAAAGTGAGGACTTAGTAACTGCACACAACACATTTGGGGTGAAGGCCCTGTTCCAGGATGCAGATCTTGGTAATTTATACCATCTACCCCCAGTCTCTAAGTTAAATGTCAAAAGAGAAAGAAATTTACAAAAATGTGCCCTTCCCTTTCAAAATTACAGTCTTTAAACTATCCTAAAATAATATTAGCTCTGCAGTTAATAGCTTATTTTATTTCCTTACTGTGAAGAAATTATTATGTACTTAGCTACTAGGGTTGTTGCTAGGGTGATTGTCATGCACACTGTATTTCAAGGAGGATCTAAGCTTATTGAAAGCTCCCCATTTGCAGACACTCCTCACTCCCCCATTAGTTACACAAAAAGAACATTCTGGTGAAAAACACTTGTGTACTATTTCTACTCCTATCTATAGCAGGAGATTTAATCTTATGGATGTAATTTTATGTACTAATCTTGCAAAGGTGGCTTTATATATGCAATTTGGCAAGAGTGGAACTAGGAAGGAGGGGAAGACATCAGAATAGTTTATGATTTTCCAAGAGCTTATAGACTAAAAAAGTTTTTGGTTCCATAATATTGCTCTAGTCTTTATCTCTAGTTAGATCTTATCAAAAGTTAATACAAACCAGACTGATGACATTGTCTTCAGAATTGGAGGAGTACAAAATGAGGCATTTGGCAATTCATCTGTGAGTCCTTTTTGCACCTGCATAATCCTTTTCTGAGTTATATACTTCGAGGCCTAATGCCATGCCTCAAGGGTAGATCAAGGTGTGTCCTGGAATCAACCATCTAAGTAAATTTCCTAGCACCTGCAAATATTAATTGTTAGTTGAATTTAGACAGCTGAGATAGGCAAATGCTTTTTCTCTTTTTTTTTATATGGTTCCAATCACAATTACAGGTAACTAGATGATGTTTGACATTAATAAATGCAAATTTACTTCTAGGTCAGGTAAGTTTTTACAATATTGAAGAGGGGAAATGATATTCTCTCTAACTAGTGATTAAAATTAAGATTTATTGTAATTATCAAAGAGAAAAAAATTACTGGGTTAAACATAATAATGAAACAGTGTATTAAAAAATATTAAATACTAAAATGCACATATAAGTCTCTAACACTGCTAAGACTGTCAAGGTGGGAATGAGACTGAGGTGAGGAAAGAAAAAGCAAACTTTGCAAGAAAGAGAAGACTGGAAACATGGCATTTGTTTCCATGGTAAGGGTGAGCCCTGAGTGAAAATGCAGTTTTACAGGAGGTCGGATGAAAATAAATCACTATAACAGACAGAGTAAAGTTTTCCAAGGCTACACATGAAGCTGGGCTTCCTTGGCAGCTTGGTGGTAAAGAATCCCCCTGCCAATGCAGGAGACTTGGGTTTGATCCCTGGGTTGGGAAGATTGCCTGGAGTAGGAAATGGTAACTCTCTCCAGTATTCTTGCCTGGAGAATCCCATGGACAGAGGAACCTGGTGGGCTACAGTCTACGGGGTTGCAAAAAAAGTCAGACATGACTGAATGACTGAGCAGGCACACACACACAAAGCCTTCAGACTATACCACTACACCACTTTAATTTCAGACATCTTAAAGAAGCAAACTTTGAAGATAAGGTGTGACAAAATAGAGCAGGGTCAGTTTGCAGAAACGTCTTCCCATTTCATTCATGCATGATGCGTATTTTTCATTTGCCTCTTCAGACCCACTTCTCTTTTCCCCCAACTCCTGCCTCCTTTTGGTGCCCTGTGAGGCTGGTCTCTCTTTATAAACACTCTGACCCCCTCTGTGCCAAGATGAGTTTATATGTTCCCAGATTGACACCACTGCACTGCTGGCTCTCTGACTGATACAGCTTCAGCAAGAACTAACATTATTTGGAAGATCATGGAGCTAGGTCTTTCCTGCCACCTCCAGCCAAGAGTACATCTTGGTGGTTTCTTCAGATGGCTCACAGATGTGATCTCACAGAACCCTGACTCAAGCTTCACAGTTTTTACCTTGCACCCTGTAGCTTCTTCCTTGCTCTTGAGTGGGAAACACCACAAGACCACTCAGTGCCCATGCATGCCACAATCCAGAAGATCAGAGGAACTGACTTTTTGTAGGGTCCATAATGGGATTCCCAGGTGATGCTAGAGATAAAGAACCATCTGCCAATGCAAGAGATATAAGAGAATCCAGAGACGCTGGTTTGATCTCTGGGTCAGGAAGATTCCCTGGAGGAGGGCATAGCAGCCCACTTCATTCCATGTATTCTTGTCTGAAGAATCTCATGGACAGAGGAGCCTTGTGGTCTTTAGTCCATAGGGTCACAAACAGGACGCAACTTAGCATGCACACACACACACGCAGGGTCAGTAATAGCAAGTGGACTCCTCAAATTCTTGACATACGTCACAGCTTCATATCACTTTTTCTGGAGATATTTTGTGAAACCAGCACATCTTCTTGTTGTGAAGATGGAGCCAGTTTGGTAAAATGCTTTTTGTATTTGTTTTCTTTTTGGTCCTTCACTCCCCTTTCCCTCAATTTTCCTTCCTCAGGATTGTACTCCCAAGGAATATGTTACCTTAGGATCTGTTTGAAATACACTTGGGCTAGTACACCATCTGGATTCAGGTTTGGCACAATGGGAAGCATGGCATGATGTAGGTTGTTCAGAAGAAACTGAGTTTAGCAGTTTTGTTTTCCTGTCTTCATTCTTGCCAGTTCCACTTCAGTACTCTCCTCCTGTGATTGTGAGTTCTAGCATCTGCTCCCTCTATTGGCTGCTTCAGGCCCACGAGAGACAGCGACTTCAAGGTATTTCACCATCTCTTACTGCTTTCTCCTAACCCTGCCCACACCTTTTAAATTAGCCCATTTAGAACATATCTTCAATTATCCTTCTGATTTCTTCAACGTCTTTTTTTGAAAAGTCTGCAACAGATGCAGGGAATAAACCTCATGGGTAAAGTTGGAAACTGACAATGCTGATAATCTTTGAAGATGAACAATGGAGTCTCCACTGTTCAGTCCATACGACTTTGAACATGCCTGATCTTGTCTGATCTCGGAAGCTAAGCAAAGTCAGGCCTGATTAGTACTTGGATGTGAATAATAGAGAAGGTCTGTGAAGTTTATAGATATTATAGGTGCAAAAAACTTGGCAAACTTGGTATGGGGTTTGAACTACATTATCACTAACATCTTTCAGAGCTAACATTCTGTGATCCTTGCTCAGGGAGCAAAACAACTCTTTTTTTTCCCTATAAAGATTTCTTTTTGATGTAGACCATTTTTAAAGTCTTTTTAAATTTGTTACAATATTGTTTCTGTTTTATGTTTTGGTTTTATGGCTGATGCGAAGAATGTAGGATCTCTGACCAGGGAATGAACCTGGGCCGCCTGGATTGGAAGGTAAAGGCTTAACCACTGGACCGCCAAGAAAGTCCCATAGCGCAATTCTTAATTAATGTTAGTAATATTAATAATTGATATTAATCTTTGTTAATTAATATCTTTGATAATGATATTTACTAATTAATGTTAATCTTATCTAATGAATGAAATAATAAAGGGGAAAATTTTAACATCATTTTTCTATTTTCAGTTATGTCAGTAAATGATACAAAGCAAACAGGAAACATGTTCTGATCTACTAAAATGTAAAACAAAACCCACTCAGCTTAGAATCAAGATAGGTGAGATAGATCCATCAATGAGATACTTACTTATTAACCATGTGACACTGAACAAGTAAGTCCCTAAAGTGAGTCTTAGTGCCCTAATTTGTAAAATAGGGATTCAAATGCCATGCTACATGGGTCACATGGTTATTATAAAGATTAAAAAAGATGAGGCATATGACAGTACAGTATTTTTCTAGAGCATCAGTGACATTGTAAATATGGATATAAATGTCTGTTCTTTATAAAAATAGCCTAATATGCATAAAGGATTGCAACCTAAAATTATGAAACTGAAAACATTGGAAAACATCAGACATATTTATTTCTTTGAGAAGAAAATAAGCTCTGGACTTGTCCATGGTAAAATTCACATTTTGACAGCAATTTATAAATCTTTGCCTGGATAATGCACGTGTGCATGCTAAGTTGCTTCAGTCATGTCCAACTCTTTGGGGCCCTATAGACTGGAGCCTGCCAGACTCCTCAGTCCATGGGATTCTCCAGGCAAGAATACTGGAGTGGGTTGCCATGCCCTCCTCCAGGGGATCTTCCCAACCCAGGGATTGAACCCATGTCTCTTCTGTCTCCTGTAGGTTCTTTACCACTAGTACCACCTGGGAAACCCCTAGTTAAGGCCTACTTAGATGCAACGCATTGTGTAACTTTTTAAAAGTCCATTTTATATTATTTCCACAAATATTTCATTTTTCTGGCCATGCTCTTACAAAAAGATGTTTCTCCAGTCAATATGCCTGAATATTGTCTTTTGTCATTCCTTACCATTTTTGCAGCATAGTGAAAAAAAATATCTTTCCAAAACAAGCAAAACGTGTACCTCCCAGGAAGACAGCATAGGCATAGACCCCAAGCAAACCCTGGTCTGACGATAATGCTTACAGCCAATTCCTCCAGCCCTATAAGCTTTGCCTCATTCTGTGGAGAAAGCTCAGCTGCTCTGAACCTTGGCTTCTTTGCACAGACTCTGCCTGAAACCACAGCATATGTTACCACAGGCAATCAATTTGCTCCTACTTCTGAGACTGATTCAGGAAGAACATTTATCAACTGTTCCCACTTTCTTCGGTTCACATATTGAAGTTTTGCTGACATCCACTGTAGAATTGAAATCAGACTCAATAGTCCGTCAAATTTCAGCATAGAAAAGCAAGCACATTTCAACCATGTCACTGTATCAGCAGTAAACATATTTAATAATATCAATTACTGACTTCAACACTTTCATGATTTGGAAAAACATACAGCTTCTTGGAGATAGAATCTTTTGCAACTAAGTGAAAAATGCATTTATTGTAGAGTATGGTACAAACAATTTTCAATGGGTACTATTGTTGTAGCTACAGGAATAATGTAATCTTTTGTGATTCTTTACTTTGGAGAATTGAAATCTAGGCTAAAATGCTAAATGCATGTGTGCATGCTCAGTTGTGTCATTCCTGTCCAACTCTTTGCGACCCCATGGACTGTAGCCCGCCATGCTCCTCTGTCCATGGGATTCTCCAGGCAAGAATACTGGAGTGGGTTGCCGTTTCCTCCTCCAGGGGATCTTCCTGACCTAGGGATTGAAACCTCGTCTCCTGTGTCTCCTGCACTGCAGGCAGATTTTTTAACTGATTGAGCCACCCGGAAAGCCCTAAGAGGCTAAATAAATCATCTAATTCCTTCAGATATTGTTCTTTAAGAAATCAATGGATTCCTTTAGAGGAGTTATTAATTCCAGAGAGGCAAATTAAATTTTTTTTTTTTTTAACTTGAAGGAAATTCCACATCGACTCTTGGAAATTACATAGAGCTGAATTCAACATAGAGATGAATAAGTGGAGTTCTGTTGTTTATTATGATGATTATAACCATATTCTTGTTAGTTGTTTTATATGTTTTCTCATTTTACTATATCAAAAAATCATGTGGAGTAGAGATTAGCATATCCATTTTATAGAAGAGAAAATAAAGGCTCAGAGATGCTACATGATTCAGACCAGAAGCTAGTAATTGGGAATGACAGATTATAATTCATTTTCTACTAATTTAAGATTAAGTACTTTCTACTGGCATTTGTTTTATTCAAGAAGTCATTAGAAATTGATTTACTTAAAATTTTGATTTCTAAAAACTGACCAATGACTTCTTGAATAAAACAAATGTCAGTAAAAAGTACTAAATTTTAGTACTCCAGAAAAGAAGCAGTATTCTCTTCCTGAAGTACAAAAATTTCCACTGCTCTCCTTATAGTCTTGTACATAGTATGCTACTCTATAGACATAACTTTCTTTGTGATACTTTCTTATGCTTGTAAGTTGAAAAGACGTGCCTACCCACACACAGTTTTTTGTAGGATGTGTTTAGCTGAAGTGTGTATTGTGAACATCTCACCTTACAGAGACAATTCGTGTGTGTGTGCTCAGTCGCTTCAGCTGTGTCCGACTCTTTGTGACCCTATGGGCTATAGTCCTCCAGACTCCTCTGTTCATGGGATTCTCCAAGCAAGAATACTGGAGTGGGTTGTCAATTCCTCCTCCAGGGGATCTTCTAGACCCAAGGATCGAACCAGCATCTCTTATATCTCCTGCATTGGCAGGCAAGCTTTTTTACCACTAGTGCCAACTGGGAAGCCCAACAGAGGCAATATTCAAGTGAAAACTCCAAAACTTAAGAAAGATTTAAAAAATAAGAGTTTTTAGAAGAATGAGGATGGGATCCTAATTTTAGAAACATTTACCCACCAAACAAGGAAAGACAGACAGCCCAGTTTCCTCTTTCCAACCACCTGCCTTTTATTAGCAATTCTCTGGCGGCTCAGACGATAAAGAATCCACCTGCAATGCAAGAGACCCAGGTTTGATCCGTGGGTCAGAAAGATCCTCTGGAGAAGGGAATGGCTACCCACTCCATTATTCTTTCTTGGAGATGGAAATGTGCTCCCATTAACTGAATAAACACATTGGCACTATGCTAGCAATGGTGGTGTCCTTTAGATTCTTGCAGCCAAGAGTGCGAGGCCCAGTTAAATATCCCTGGATGAGGAAACCACCACACACATGGACTACGCCTTGAGATCCACAGGACTGATATAGAAACTGCTTGGTTTAACTCCAGGAGGCTAAATAGTCAAGGAAAATCTCAACCTATGAGTATCAGATAGATTTGAAAGCAATAAGGCATTCTAACACAATGCAGAGATGATCCATCAGAGGCTGGACACTCCTGGAACCCGTCAAGCTTCAACGTGGGCAAATGACCACCAACTTGCCAAGGAAAACAGGGGTGGAGGGAGCTTGAGCCTGTTCTCCTCCTTGATGTGACCAGAGAAGGTTGCATCAAGCTCCAGGGCAAAACTGCATGTGGATAGCCACAGGTATGGCAGTCCTGGGGTGGGGGCAGGGGGCGTCTTCTGGAGACCGTAAGAGCAGGAACTTCTCCCAGACAAAAGGGGATGTGGGAGCAGGGGCATCAGGACAGGGGATAAGCACAAAGCCGGTGTGCCTGACTCCCCTGGGTTGGCAGATTTGCTGATTTCCCTTTCTTTGGCAGGATGAAGTTTGCAATTTCCCCTCACACTCTCTGCTTTTCATTTTGTCCTTACTCTTAACATGAATTATCAATTAATGTAATCCTCAACCAATGTTATGAGGAAAGGAAAAATGTTAAATAATATTAGAGCAGTGTTTCAAACCCAGGCAGTGTGGTTCCAGAATCCATGAACTTTAACATTTTTTTTTTTTCCATGTTACCAGACCTTGCCCATTAATGCCGGAACAATTTTGTATAAGGGAACTTCACAGTGTAGTATGGGGAATCTTGGTGCAGAAGTACAATAATAAAGACAGACATATGGTAGTTTCTTCATTCTGGAGAATCCTAAAGACTACAGCTTCCTTTTATGAAGACAAATAAGG